ACACCTGCCCAGGGCCTTTCTGATACCCACACACCTTCTATCCAACGATTTACTAGGCAGCTTATACAGACCCTTAATAATACCCACAAGAAAAAAGGAAATCTTATATGTATATATACTGTTGAGCAACCCTTACTCTTCTAGTTAATAGACAGCATCAGAGCACACTTGTTTCTGTAGTCTGACAACCAAGCTACATTTGGGCTGAAATCCTATTACCAATTTATGCTTGTGTAAAGGAAACTGTGCAAGTCTCAGTGGCAAACTCACACTCATTAATGAGGAGCTGCTGTACAGTACAGTACTCTTGAATACACACCCAGGAACACAATCAGCACTTTCTCAAAGTGTGGAAACTGGCTGCTGAAACTGACGCTACTCCCCCATAAGCAGCACAGCTTGGCAACAGAATTCTGGCCATTATTTCTTTTGACAACAGACTCATGCCACATAAGGACTCCAGCATTTGGGTACTGCTTTTAATCCATTTTGCATCTTCAGTGAAGCTCATTAGAATCCCTATCCCCCACAAACCTTCACTTATAATTGGTACTGCACTTGCTTTAGTGTAGAGTGTAAAGGAAACATGGAAATAGTTACAAACAACAGCCACAGCATAAGTGGAGTAACTTATGGAAGCAAATTGCCCCAAATTAAGAAATCACAGTAGAAATCGAGTTGCATAACACTCAGCATGTCGCTAATAATGTTTACAATTATTTCTTAATTTGGGACTATCTGCTTGGAAGTTACATTGTTTCTCCAACTACACAAGGTGATTCTTGCCAATAAGAGGCTTGCAGTTCAGTCTGCTTTTCAATAATGGAAATGTAACCAGATTTCTTTACATAACTACATAAGGAATAACTGTTTAGTTACTACGGAGGTGTGGTCTCCTTCACTGGTGGAAGAGGAACATCACATACCTTTCAGTGTTAAACTGATAAGTCAGTAGACAGATGCTACATGAAATATGTGATTTCACTGCTTAAGATATGTTTGTACAATAGGACACAAGGTTTCTATAGCAGCGTTTAGCAGGGTTTTTAGTGACTTCTTAAAATTTCAGAATGCATTCTGAGTTTTTTTTTAAAGAACTAGTTGCTTCTGAATAACAACAGGGTTACTTTTAATTACAATGTAACTGTTACTAACTACTTTTGGAAAGTAAGTCCTCAGACCCTGGCTATGTCTTCAAAGTAGCACAAGGATTGGCCATGAAGACAAGTGGTAATTAAGAGTGAATGTTCTCCCCAGCAGAGAAGCGAAATGAGCATCACATAGCTGTGTTTTCACTGGCCAATGCAAACGGTCAAACAGGTCCTTTATCAATGTGCTGTTTATGAGAAATAAGATGTGGGAAGGTCTTTACTTACTTACTTACTTACTTACTTACTTACTTACTTACTTACTTACTTACTTACTTACTTACTTACTTACTTACTTACTTACTTACTTACTTACTTACTTACTTACTTACTTACTTACCTTACTTACTTACTGTTAAGTTGGAACTGACCTACAGAGACCCTAATAGGGATTTCAAAGTACCTGAGCTGAGATATGAGTGGTTTTACCAGTTCTAAT